ACGGAATTTATCAATTCATATGGTGTAATTAAGATATTCATTAATTACATATATTTTGAAAACAGACAAAAAAAAACAAATGAATTGCTTTAGTCAATATCTGAATTATTAGGCACAGCAGATGCGGGAAAAGCATTATATATATATATATATATATATATATATATATATATATATATATATATATATATATATATATATATATATATATATATATATATATATATATATATTGTTCATACTTAAATTTATATACGATATCCTTTTTCTTTAATATTATGTTGTGCAGCTAATAAATTCTTATTTACCGTTTCTTGAACACAGTTTAGTTTTACATATTCCTTATAGTTATAGTACTAAAGTATAGTTTTATACATTCATTCCTTATAGTTTTATTGAAGATTTCGATTACTCGATCGTAAATGGTACAAGAGTCATAAAGGTTTCCAAAAGTGAGTTAAAAGAAAATAATTGTCACCAGTGTTACATTATTATGTTTTATATGGTGTTTTTCATTATTATTATTATCAAAATTATGTACTGCTATGTACAATGTAACTAATATTTTCTATAATACTAACAACATAATATAATATCTTTATTTATTTATAACAAGAATGTTTAATATGTCTAATACTATGTATTCAGTATTGTTATTCTTCTTCTACCTGGCAATTTTCCAGCTGTAGCCAGGGTCTGTTTTACATGTTATAAGAATAATTTGGCTATTTGTTTATATGTATGACCGGCCGCCTGCCTGATATCAACAACCCTCTTTGGGAATCAACATTAATCAGTGAGTGATGTCTAAATACTCTAAGAAAGTACATAATATATAACTTGGAAAAATCACATTGGTCATTCTTGCCAGGGTCGAACCCGCGCCCTCATGCATGAGAGGCGGGCGGCCTTTTAACCAATTGGCCACCACTGACTTTGTTATTATCGTATTATAATATTATTACTGAATTGTTCGCTATTTTCGTGAATGTTATCTTGTATTCGATTATTATTTATATATTTTATTATTATTATTATTATTATTATTATATAGAGACGATCTTTGTCATTCGGAAAACGAGAACACAACGTTGTGTCGAAATCTAAGTTTCCGACATGATTGGGTTCATAATGAAATATATGTTAGCCCTGAAAAGGGCTTTTTATATATTATGTATTTTTTTTTTCTTTTCTTTCGTATCTGCGACGCGTGCCTGTAAGATGAACGTCACTCTCGTAGATTCCTCGAACGTTGAAGAGTACGGGGGGACGCCGAGAGACATTCCGATGATCTAGAATCTCTTATCTATAATGAACTTGTATCATCGTAAGTCTACAACCCCCGAGCGCGCTCACCACTCACGGTGCCGATGCTGCCGCCGTCGCGATAGATAAAGCAATACAAAAATTATTACTTTTTCGCTGCTGCTGCTGCTTTCTTAGCTGCGGGTTTCGATTTCGGGGTACCGGCGGATGCTTTCTTCGGTTTCGGGGCTTTAGGTTTCTTAGTGGGAGGTTTGGCGCTCTTCTTGGCCTTGGATGCTGCACCTTTCGCCTTAGAAGCTGTCGCGGAGGATGCGGCAGAGGCGTTCGCGGCTGCGGAACCTTTCTTAGCGGCGGCCGGCTTCTTTTTGGCAGCTGCTGCTGCGGCTGCGGCCGCTTTCTTATCCCTGGCCGCTGCCGCCGATGCTTTAGCTTTGGACGGCGAAGATGCAGCCGACGAAGCTACGGAACCGCCTTTCTTACCTCCCTTCGCTGCCACCGCCGATGCCGTTGCGGCGGCTTTCTTAGATTTAACGGATGCCGACGAAGCTGCAGCCCTACCGGTTCCGGCGGAACCACCACTTGCCTTACCACCACCACCACCACCACCACCACCCGACGACGGTTTCTTGGCTGCTGATGATTTAGATTCCAATTTGAATGAACCGGAAGCACCCTTCCCCTTGGTCTGTATCAGGGCACCGGACTCGACGGCGCTCTTGAGATATTTTCTTATGAACGGTGCCAATTTCTCCGTATCGACCTTATATTGAGCGGCGATGTATTTCTTGATAGCCTGTAACGATGAACCGCTGCGCTCCTTCAACTCTTTGATGGCGTTGTTTACCATTTCAGCTGTCTTGGGATGAGTAGGTTTAGCCTTAGGTTTCTTCGAGCCGGCCGCAGCGGCGGCGGCGGCCGCTGACGCTTTCGGTTTCTTCGCAGGCGTAGCCGGAGCCGGTGTTTCAGATGCAACTGCGGTATCTGCCATTTTTTTAATGTTTTTTATTTTTTTATTTTTATTATTCTTCTCAGCAGGTCACAACACCACACAGACACACAGACACAGTTTATAAACAAATATAACTATGATGATAGCCGGAGATGTCGCTAGTAGTTATTTAACAATCGGGTATGCCGTAACGAGAACCGTGTTGTCGCTAAACATTTTCACGTACGAACACTTCTAACTTTTCACTAACATCCATCCGTTTTATATGTTTTATTTAATATAATATATATGTTTATATAAATTTAAAGATGCAATATGTTTAATCTTAAAACTAACTTTCGTAGTGAACAATAAATAACTTTATAAACGTAGTTAGCATAGATTAATAGACGTTTGAATTCTATATACCTTTCGGGACGTAGGTAACGTCTCGTTTAAAAGTTATTTTTCTCATTTAGAATAGCGTATAGCGTAATGTGATATCGATTAATTGAAAACGAAGACATCACTCCTTCAGGCCCATGGAATAATCATCGTCTTTTATTATCTATGAACTGTTAATGCGGCATCGAAGTCTGGTCTCGTAAAACACACACCGGGATGTTAGAGTATGGAGAGAAGCAAAGGCCGCGTACACGAATGCATAGTATAATCGTCTTCGTAGTGGTTGTTGTCTTCGTTATGTTATGTATTATATAATATAAGGACATAATTTTCGATAATTATGAATAATATTATTGTATAATTGTACGATAGCAGCGGATGAATATGATGATACGATTATCGAAATGATGATTGTACATATTATAATATGCAATGTATGTATGTATGTAATGTACACGTAGAGAGACAGAGGTACATACGTGTATCATCATTATTATTATTAGTAATAGTAGGTATCGATTATCTAAATTTATTTAAAATGCTGTTAAATATTATGTATGTAATATGTGTATAATATTTAGAACATAAGATATGGACGACGACCATAGGTGATTTGAGTGATGAGAACATAAGTGTGTTGAGATAGTTATGATTTTTTTATATTATTACTATTATATACTATAAATTAAATAATAATATAGTTTATTATTCCGTCGTTGAAACTCTATATTCGATATTCACGATAATCGTGAATAATTATAATATTTCAACGGATACATATGCGGCCCTGAAAAGGGCCTTTTTTCTTTTTTTTTTTTCCTCGTTCCCCAACAGTAACGATGACGCGTCGTGATATAAAGCGAGTAAGTAGAGAGAGGGTGAGGGTGAGGGTGAGGGAGAGTGAGAGAGAGTGAGTGGAAGGAAGTGTCGGGCAGTCGGGCGGCGGGTGAGGGGGGCAGAATAATAGGATGATCTGCACACCACACGAGAGAGACACACTGGAATCATCATCATCACCACCACCACCACACTCTTCACTTGCTGCTTTATATCACGTCGTCGTCTTCGTGTGTGTATATCGGAGGATATGGCTGCTGCTGCTGCTTTAACCCGCCGAAACCGTAGAGGGTGCGTCCCTGACGCTTAAGGGCGTACACGACGTCCATGGCTGTGACGGTCTTCCTCTTAGCGTGCTCGGTGTACGTTACCGCGTCGCGGATGACGTTCTCGAGGAACACTTTGAGTACGCCTCTGGTCTCTTCGTATATCAGACCGGAGATACGTTTGACGCCTCCTCTTCTTGCCAGACGACGTATGGCCGGTTTGGTGATGCCCTGGATGTTATCACGGAGCACTTTCCTGTGACGCTTGGCTCCACCTTTTCCCAGACCCTTTCCTCCTTTACCGCGACCGGTCATGATGTAGTGTAGTTGATGCTATTGTTTCTTCACACACGATTGTTACCTATCGCGATGCGCGACGCGTGTAGATCTCTGAGTATAATCGGTACGGGGCCACAAAACCGTCCTTTTTATAGCGTGTACCGGGGTGCGGCGGGGGAGGGGGGGTGGCGGACGGGGACCGTACGAGTGTTATGTACGGGGACGGGCCCGGGGTTGGGGGGGAGGAGGGTACTCTGTATCGCCCTCCCCGGACCCCGCGGCGGGCGCATGTCTCTAGAGTAATGTCTCAGTAAAATTTTGCAATAAATATTATTTTCATTAATTATATGTAAATAAAATAAAATACATATCAATAAATCGTTTTCAGAAAGGAACGGACCAGTGAGAGAGGCGAGGCACCTGCAGTATATGTACATATGTATTTCAATGGAAGTTCCTGCCATCTAAGACAATCACGACTTTTTGTTTCCAGAATGCATGTACATATTTATTATTTTATTGTATCCTTTACGATAATAACTTTGTGCGTCTCATCATAGTTTATTGTATACAAGTGTTTTTACTTACATAATCTAAATACTGTAGCTATGTGTTAAATAAATACTGTGTACTCACATACATGCGTAACTTAACATTATTATTTTTATTTAATAATATATTATACGGAATATTATGATTGTTTAGACGTTCTCGTTTGTATGAAACGATAACTTATTAATTCAGATATATATGCGGCCCTGAAAAGGGCCTTTTTTAATTAATATTTGTTATCGTGTTGTTTATTTATTTACGTATGATGATCTTTGAATGTGTATGTACATATCATTATTCAAAAATGCACACCACTATTTAGACACATACACGTATAAAAAGAAACAACACAATTGACACTCATTGACGTTTAGGCACGTTCACCGCGAATCCTTCTTGCTAGCTGGATATCTTTAGGCATAATAGTGACGCGTTTAGCGTGAATAGCGCAAAGATTCGTGTCTTCGAAGAGACCTACGAGATACGCCTCGCTGGCCTCCTGCAGGGCCATCACCGCGGAGCTCTGGAAACGAAGATCGGTCTTGAAATCTTGAGCTATCTCACGCACTAGACGTTGGAAAGGTAGCTTGCGGATGAGAAGTTCCGTGCTCTTCTGGTAGCGACGGATCTCACGAAGTGCCACAGTACCGGGTCTGTAACGATGAGGCTTCTTGACTCCTCCGGTTGCCGGTGCGCTCTTACGGGCCGCCTTCGTTGCTAGCTGTTTACGTGGTGCCTTACCACCGGTTGATTTACGAGCTGTTTGCTTAGTACGAGCCATTATTGAGATAAAAATAACTTTGACACGGTACGCGATGAAACAACGGACTACAGTTGTGTGCACTACAGCGAGGATCGAACTATAATGATAGCCGTAAATAAACCGACCGGCTCTTATATACGTACTCCGTAGAGGCAGTCGGCGGGGATCGTTCGAGGGGTTCGGGTTTATGCTTCTGGTCACTAAATCGACACGGTCGTCTTCGTATTCGCTGTAATAGCATTAGAAAATATAATATGTAGTATATAGTAGTTATAGATATATACATATATGTATATTGTCAGTGACGTTAATATATAGGTATACAACATTTATATTAATTTAAATGTCTATAACGCGTATTCCAAATTGATTTTAATAATTATAAGTATGTATTTTCTGACATAGATAGATATCGCAAGACGATGATATAATATATTTAACTCTACGCCATAACTTAAAAGATTTAATGTAATTATTAAAAATATTATAATAAAATCCAACGAGATGTTTAGTTCGATGCGTTGAAACTTATATAAGGAATAATAATAAATTATTATTCTTTTCATGTGAATCTTTTAATGGCCCTGAAAAGGGCCTTTGTTATATTATATTTTTCATTTCATTTCCTCTCCTCCTCACTTGGAACTGGTGTACTTCGTGACGGCCTTCGTTCCTTCACTGACGGCGTGTTTGGCCAACTCGCCGGGCAGCAACAATCTCACGGAGGTCTGGACCTCCCTGGACGTTATGGTGGATCTCTTGTTGTAGTGTGCGAGACGTGACGCTTCGGCGGCTATACGTTCGAATATATCGTTCACGAAAGAGTTCATGATCGACATGGCCTTACTTGATATACCGGTGTCGGGATGCACTTGCTTCAGAACCTTGTAGATGTAGATAGCGTAGCTCTCCTTCCTCTTGTGTTTCTTCTTCTTCTTGTCGGATTTGGAGATGTTCTTTTGAGCTTTGCCGGACTTCTTGGCTGCCTTACCGCTGGTTTTAGGCGGCATGTTTGATTATAATATGATATATTATTATAACAACGATTGACTTCAACGGTGCTTTCGGTACGGAGTACTGTAAGCTGTTCTGTAAAAAAATATCCAACCCAGGGTCTAGTGTGTATCATTATGCTCAAGTATGTAGTTACGTATCGAGCACGCACGTCCACACCGGGGACCGACCAATAGGAAGCGTCGGTTCCGATCGTGGGGTCCGATGTGTTTTCCGTCTGCGGGGTGGGGGGGGGGGGGGGTGGGGTGGCGGAGGGGGGTTTCGGTTTGAAAATAATAATCATAACATAATAATCATAAAATAAGAGTATGTAAAAACAGTCTATTAAATAAAGAGTATGTACTTAATAATAACAATAGAAGAGTCATAAAAATTATGATGTCAGTGTTTCCTATTATTATTATTTTATTACCTGTACTTAACACTAATTACCGTTCGGTCATTAAATGCTTTGTGTTATTTTTTGTTTATTTTGAAAAACTAATAATAAATAATAGCATTATGAGATTATCTATCGACTTTGAAAAGTAGATTACTATCAGTTATTTAATTTATTATTATCATGATATTGCTTTTAAAAGAAATTGTATAATATGTAATTAATTATATACTTAGGTAGTTTCATATACATACGTTAAATAATAATACATAATAATATTACTTATTATAATTGACGTCTCGTATCGATGGAACTGTTCGTATATTATATAAAATATATACGTTAAACAACGATTTATTTTGTGGCCCTGAAAAGGGCCTTTTAAATAAACATCAATTGGATGTATGACTATGTATACATGCATACAAACAAACATCACATCAACCATTACATATTATATACCCATTACATTAGTATATATGTAGACGGAGACGACGATGATGATGATGATGATTATGGTGGTGGTGGTGGTGGTGGTGCGGTCCGATGATCATCAATGATAATCCTTTAGGCCTTCTTCTCCGTCTTCTTGGGCAATAATACGGCCTGGATGTTTGGTAGTACACCACCCTGAGCTATGGTCACACCGGATAGAAGCTTGTTCAACTCTTCGTCGTTCCTTATGGCCAGCTGAAGATGTCTAGGTATGATTCTGGTCTTCTTGTTGTCTCTGGCAGCGTTACCGGCCAATTCGAGTACTTCAGCAGCAAGATATTCCATAACGGCAGCGAGATAAACGGGAGCACCGGCACCGACGCGCTCCGCGTAGTTTCCTTTCCTCAGCAATCTGTGTATACGACCGACGGGGAACTGTAGACCTGCACGGTTAGAACGAGACTTCGCCTTTCCCTTAACTTTACCACCTTTACCACGTCCAGACATTGTTGCGAATATATTAACCTTTTGATATAATAACGTAACACACGCGACTGGCAGAGAGTAATTTAAAAAAACCGTAGCGCGGCTCTTTACTATATATACGTCTACACGTATCGGTGGGGTGGGGATATAGACGAATGACGAGCTAAAGTAGACGCGGAGAGAAGCGGGAGGGTTTTCCAATCAGTGTTGACATTTTTTTTAGAGGATCGTACTATAGACTAAAAAAAATAATAGTATTTTGTCTTGAAATTCAATGAAATAATCGTACGCGATGAAATTTCAATAAACTGCGTAAGTATATCAAATAAAAACGGAATTTATCAATTCATATGGTGTAATTAAGATATTCATTAATTACATATATTTTGAAAACAGACAAAAAAAAACAAATGAATTGCTTTAGTCAATATCTGAATTATTAGGCAAAAAAGCATTATTATATATAATATATATATATATATATATAATTGCTTTAAATTTATATATATCTTTTTCTTTAATATTATGTTGTGCAGCTAATAAATTCTTATTTACCGTTTCTTGAACACAGTTTAGTTTTACATATTCCTTATAGTTATAGTACTAAAGTATAGTTTTATACATTCCTTATAGTTTTATTGAAGATTTCGATTACTCGATCGTAAATGGTACAAGAGTCATAAAGGTTTCCAAAAGTGAGTTAAAAGAAAATAATTGTCACCAGTGTTACATTATTATGTTTTATATGGTGTTTTTCATTATTATTATTATCAAAATTATGTACTGCTATGTACAATGTAACTAATATTTTCTATAATACTAACAACATAATATAATATCTTTATTTATTTATAACAAGAATGTTTAATATGTCTAATACTATGTATTCAGTATTGTTATTCTTCTTCTACCTGGCAATTTTCCAGCTGTAGCCAGGGTCTGTTTTACATGTTATAAGAATAATTTGGCTATTTGTTTATATGTATGACCGGCCGCCTGCCTGATATCAACAACCCTCTTTGGGAATCAACATTAATCAGTGAGTGATGTCTAAATACTCTAAGAAAGTACATAATATATAACTTGGAAAAATCACATTGGTCATTCTTGCCAGGGTCGAACCCGCGCCCTCATGCATGAGAGGCGGGCGGCCTTTTAACCAATTGGCCACCACTGACTTTGTTATTATCGTATTATAATATTATTACTGAATTGTTCGCTATTTTCGTGAATGTTATCTTGTATTCGATTATTATTTATATATTTTATTATTATTATTATTATTATTATTATAGGAGACGATCTTTGTCATTCGGAAAACGAGAACACAACGTTGTGTCGAAATCTAAGTTTCCGACATGATTGGGTTCATAATGAAATATATGTTAGCCCTGAAAAGGGCTTTTTATATATTATGTATTTTTTTTTTCTTTTCTTTCGTATCTGCGACGCGTGCCTGTAAGATGAACGTCACTCTCGTAGATTCCTCGAACGTTGAAGAGTACGGGGGGACGCCGAGAGACATTCCGATGATCTAGAATCTCTTATCTATAATGAACTTGTATCATCGTAAGTCTACAACCCCCGAGCGCGCTCACCACTCACGGTGCCGATGCTGCCGCCGTCGCGATAGATAAAGCAATACAAAAATTATTACTTTTTCGCTGCTGCTGCTGCTGCTTTCTTAGCTGCGGGTTTCGATTTCGGGGTACCGGCGGATGCTTTCTTCGGTTTCGGGGCTTTAGGTTTCTTAGTGGGAGGTTTGGCGCTCTTCTTGGCCTTGGATGCTGCACCTTTCGCCTTAGAAGCTGTCGCGGAGGATGCGGCAGAGGCGTTCGCGGCTGCGGAACCTTTCTTAGCGGCGGCCGGCTTCTTTTTGGCAGCTGCTGCTGCGGCTGCGGCCGCTTTCTTATCCCTGGCCGCTGCCGCCGATGCTTTAGCTTTGGACGGCGAAGATGCAGCCGACGAAGCTACGGAACCGCCTTTCTTACCTCCCTTCGCTGCCACCGCCGATGCCGTTGCGGCGGCTTTCTTAGATTTAACGGATGCCGACGAAGCTGCAGCCCTACCGGTTCCGGCGGAACCACCACTTGCCTTACCACCACCACCACCACCACCACCCGACGACGGTTTCTTGGCTGCTGATGATTTAGATTCCAATTTGAATGAACCGGAAGCACCCTTCCCCTTGGTCTGTATCAGGGCACCGGACTCGACGGCGCTCTTGAGATATTTTCTTATGAACGGTGCCAATTTCTCCGTATCGACCTTATATTGAGCGGCGATGTATTTCTTGATAGCCTGTAACGATGAACCGCTGCGCTCCTTCAACTCTTTGATGGCGTTGTTTACCATTTCAGCTGTCTTGGGATGAGTAGGTTTAGCCTTAGGTTTCTTCGAGCCGGCCGCAGCGGCGGCGGCGGCCGCTGACGCTTTCGGTTTCTTCGCAGGCGTAGCCGGAGCCGGTGTTTCAGATGCAACTGCGGTATCTGCCATTTTTTTAATGTTTTTTATTTTTTTATTTTTATTATTCTTCTCAGCAGGTCACAACACCACACAGACACACAGACACAGTTTATAAACAAATATAACTATGATGATAGCCGGAGATGTCGCTAGTAGTTATTTAACAATCGGGTATGCCGTAACGAGAACCGTGTTGTCGCTAAACATTTTCACGTACGAACACTTCTAACTTTTCACTAACATCCATCCGTTTTATATGTTTTATTTAATATAATATATATGTTTATATAAATTTAAAGATGCAATATGTTTAATCTTAAAACTAACTTTCGTAGTGAACAATAAATAACTTTATAAACGTAGTTAGCATAGATTAATAGACGTTTGAATTCTATATACCTTTCGGGACGTAGGTAACGTCTCGTTTAAAAGTTATTTTTCTCATTTAGAATAGCGTATAGCGTAATGTGATATCGATTAATTGAAAACGAAGACATCACTCCTTCAGGCCCATGGAATAATCATCGTCTTTTATTATCTATGAACTGTTAATGCGGCATCGAAGTCTGGTCTCGTAAAACACACACCGGGATGTTAGAGTATGGAGAGAAGCAAAGGCCGCGTACACGAATGCATAGTATAATCGTCTTCGTAGTGGTTGTTGTCTTCGTTATGTTATGTATTATATAATATAAGGACATAATTTTCGATAATTATGAATAATATTATTGTATAATTGTACGATAGCAGCGGATGAATATGATGATACGATTATCGAAATGATGATTGTACATATTATAATATGCAATGTATGTATGTATGTAATGTACACGTAGAGAGACAGAGGTACATACGTGTATCATCATTATTATTATTAGTAATAGTAGGTATCGATTATCTAAATTTATTTAAAATGCTGTTAAATATTATGTATGTAATATGTGTATAATATTTAGAACATAAGATATGGACGACGACCATAGGTGATTTGAGTGATGAGAACATAAGTGTGTTGAGATAGTTATGATTTTTTTATATTATTACTATTATATACTATAAATTAAATAATAATATAGTTTATTATTCCGTCGTTGAAACTCTATATTCGATATTCACGATAATCGTGAATAATTATAATATTTCAACGGATACATATGCGGCCCTGAAAAGGGCCTTTTTTCTTTTTTTCCTCGTTCCCCAACAGTAACGATGACGCGTCGTGATATAAAGCGAGTAAGTAGAGAGAGGGTGAGGGTGAGGGTGAGGGAGAGTGAGAGAGAGTGAGTGGAAGGAAGTGTCGGGCAGTCGGGCGGCGGGTGAGGGGGGCAGAATAATAGGATGATCTGCACACCACACGAGAGAGACACACTGGAATCATCATCATCACCACCACCACCACACTCTTCACTTGCTGCTTTATATCACGTCGTCGTCTTCGTGTGTGTATATCGGAGGATATGGCTGCTGCTGCTGCTTTAACCGCCGAAACCGTAGAGGGTGCGTCCCTGACGCTTAAGGGCGTACACGACGTCCATGGCTGTGACGGTCTTCCTCTTAGCGTGCTCGGTGTACGTTACCGCGTCGCGGATGACGTTCTCGAGGAACACTTTGAGTACGCCTCTGGTCTCTTCGTATATCAGACCGGAGATACGTTTGACGCCTCCTCTTCTTGCCAGACGACGTATGGCCGGTTTGGTGATGCCCTGGATGTTATCACGGAGCACTTTCCTGTGACGCTTGGCTCCACCTTTTCCCAGACCCTTTCCTCCTTTACCGCGACCGGTCATGATGTAGTGTAGTTGATGCTATTGTTTCTTCACACACGATTGTTACCTATCGCGATGCGCGACGCGTGTAGATCTCTGAGTATAATCGGTACGGGGCCACAAAACCGTCCTTTTTATAGCGTGTACCGGGGTGCGGCGGGGGAGGGGGGGGGTGGCGGACGGGGACCGTACGAGTGTTATGTACGGGGACGGGCCCGGGGTTGGGGGGGAGGAGGGTACTCTGTATCGCCCTCCCCGGACCCCGCGGCGGGCGCATGTCTCTAGAGTAATGTCTCAGTAAAATTTTGCAATAAATATTATTTTCATTAATTATATGTAAATAAAATAAAATACATATCAATAAATCGTTTTCAGAAAGGAACGGACCAGTGAGAGAGGCGAGGCACCTGCAGTATATGTACATATGTATTTCAATGGAAGTTCCTGCCATCTAAGACAATCACGACTTTTTGTTTCCAGAATGCATGTACATATTTATTATTTTATTGTATCCTTTACGATAATAACTTTGTGCGTCTCATCATAGTTTATTGTATACAAGTGTTTTTACTACTTACATAATCTAAATACTGTAGCTATGTGTTAAATAAATACTGTGTACTCACATACATGCGTAACTTAACATTATTATTTTTATTTAATAATATATTATACGGAATATTATGATTGTTTAGACGTTCTCGTTTGTATGAAACGATAACTTATTAATTCAGATATATATGCGGCCCTGAAAAGGGCCTTTTTTAATTAATATTTGTTATCGTGTTGTTTATTTATTTACGTATGATGATCTTTGAATGTGTATGTACATATCATTATTCAAAAATGCACACCACTATTTAGACACATACACGTATAAAAAGAAACAACACAATTGACACTCATTGACGTTTAGGCACGTTCACCGCGAATCCTTCTTGCTAGCTGGATATCTTTAGGCATAATAGTGACGCGTTTAGCGTGAATAGCGCAAAGATTCGTGTCTTCGAAGAGACCTACGAGATACGCCTCGCTGGCCTCCTGCAGGGCCATCACCGCGGAGCTCTGGAAACGAAGATCGGTCTTGAAATCTTGAGCTATCTCACGCACTAGACGTTGGAAAGGTAGCTTGCGGATGAGAAGTTCCGTGCTCTTCTGGTAGCGACGGATCTCACGAAGTGCCACAGTACCGGGTCTGTAACGATGAGGCTTCTTGACTCCTCCGGTTGCCGGTGCGCTCTTACGGGCCGCCTTCGTTGCTAGCTGTTTACGTGGTGCCTTACCACCGGTTGATTTACGAGCTGTTTGCTTAGTACGAGCCATTATTGAGATAAAAATAACTTTGACACGGTACGCGATGAAACAACGGACTACAGTTGTGTGCACTACAGCGAGGATCGAACTATAATGATAGCCGTAAATTTTTTTTTTTTTTTTTTTTTTTTTTTTTTTTTTTTCGAATTGACATATGCTGTTAGCCCTAGTGGCTTTGACAGCGTCACCGAGAGGGGTGGGTGGTCCTGATGGGACCGACCCGATTAATTCGGGCCCGAAGGGCCCGACCAGGGATACGCCCGTCCCAAGGGTGCCTCTAGGAGGCCGGACCTCGGCTTAGGACGTCGTTGTCGTGGAGGTATTAGAGGGTCGATTGAATACATGACGCCCCCCGACGGCAGAACGCCGGAGTGACGTGTATGAAACGGGACCTCGCCTTCGCCGGCGAAGGCGGTGTGTGTTTCTGATGTCTGGTGTGTTGTTGGGATTATTGTTCGTATTGTCTGTCGTGATCTGGTCGTCAGGGTCTAAGAGGACGTCTTTGGGACGCCTCTTACCTAATTTGGAGTTGGGTGACGGGGAATAATTTGACGCTTGGATTACTAGCGGGTTCGGATGTATTGACGCGGTATCGAAGAATCTCTTTGAGATCATCTTGAAGTGCGCAGCTATCGTAGGAAGTTGGAGGTCCCTATGAAGATCTGAGTTCCTGAGGTACCAGGGTGCGCCTGTGGCTATGCGCATGAATCTGTTTTGCACTACTTGCAGTTTATTAATGGCTGAGGGCCTGACGTGGGCGAAGCATGCGCTTGCGTACGACATAACTGGAAGTATGCAGGTCTTGTAAAGTGTGACCTTATTTCTAAGGGACAGTTTACTTTTACTGCAGATGAGGGGGTATAGGCGACCTATGATGAAGGATGCCCTATTTCTAACAGTTCGAATGTGAGGATTAAAGTTGAAGTATCTATCTAGGATAGCCGTAAATAAACCGACCGGCTCTTATATACGTACTCCGTAGAGGCAGTCGGCGGGGATCGTTCGAGGGGTTCGGGTTTATGCTTCTGGTCACTAAATCGACACGGTCGTCTTCGTATTCGCTGTAATAGCATTAGAAAATATAATATGTAGTATATAGTAGTTATAGATATATACATATATGTATATTGTCAGTGACGTTAATATATAGGTATACAACATTTATATTAATTTAAATGTCTATAACGCGTATTCCAAATTGATTTTAATAATTATAAGTATGTATTTTCTGACATAGATAGATATCGCAAGACGATGATATAATATATTTAACTCTACGCCATAACTTAAAAGATTTAATGTAATTATTAAAAATATTATAATAAAATCCAACGAGATGTTTAGTTCGATGCGTTGAAACTTATATAAGGAATAATAATAAATTATTATTCTTTTCATGTGAATCTTTTAATGGCCCTGAAAAGGGCCTTTGTTATATTATATTTTTTTCATTTCATTTCCTCTCCTCCTCACTTGGAACTGGTGTACTTCGTGACGGCCTTCGTTCCTTCACTGACGGCGTGTTTGGCCAACTCGCCGGGCAGCAACAATCTCACGGAGGTCTGGACCTCCCTGGACGTTATGGTGGATCTCTTGTTGTAGTGTGCGAGACGTGACGCTTCGGCGGCTATACGTTCGAATATATCGTTCACGAAAGAGTTCATGATCGACATGGCCTTACTTGATATACCGGTGTCGGGATGCACTTGCTTCAGAACCTTGTAGATGTAGATAGCGTAGCTCTCCTTCCTCTTGTGTTTCTTCTTCTTCTTGTCGGATTTGGAGATGTTCTTTTGAGCTTTGCCGGACTTCTTGGCTGCCTTACCGCTGGTTTTAGGCGGCATGTTTGATTATAATATGATATATTATTATAACAACGATTGACTTCAACGGTGCTTTCGGTACGGAGTACTGTAAGCTGTTCTGTAAAAAAATATCCAACCCAGGGTCTAGTGTGTATCATTATGCTCAAGTATGTAGTTACGTATCGAGCACGCACGTCCACACCGGGGACCGACCAATAGGAAGCGTCGGTTCCGATCGTGGGGTCCGATGTGTTTTCCGTCTGCGGGGGGGGGGGGGGGGGGGGTGGGTGGCGGAGGGGGGTTTCGGTTTGAAAAAAATAATAATCATAACATAATAATCATAAAATAAGAGTATGTAAAAACAGTCTATTAAATAAAGAGTATGTACTTAATAATAACAATAGAAGAGTCATAAAAATTATGATGTCAGTGTTTCCTATTATTATTATTTTATTACCTGTACTTAACACTAATTACCGTTCGGTCATTAAATGCTTTGTGTTATTTTTTGTTTATTTTGAAAACTAATAATAAATAATAGCATTATGAGATTATCTATCGACTTTGAAAAGTAGATTACTATCAGTTATTTAATTTATTATTATCATGATATTGCTTTTAAAAGAAATTGTATAATATGTAATTAATTATATACTTAGGTAGTTTCATATACATACGTTAAATAATAATACATAATAATATTACTTATTATAATTGACGTCTCGTATCGATGGAACTGTTCGTATATTATATAAAATATATACGTTAAACAACGATTTATTTTGTGGCCCTGAAAAGGGCCTTTTAAATAAACATCAATTGGATGTATGACTATGTATACATGCATACAAACAAACATCACATCAACCATTACATATTATATACCCATTACATTAGTATATATGTAGACGGAGACGACGATGATGATGATGATGATTATGGTGGTGGTGGTGGTGGTGGTGCGGTCCGATGATCATCAATGATAATCCTTTAGGCCTTCTTCTCCGTCTTCTTGGGCAATAATACGGCCTGGATGTTTGGTAGTACACCACCCTGAGCTATGGTCACACCGGATAGAAGCTTGTTCAACTCTTCGTCGTTCCTTATGGCCAGCTGAAGATGTCTAGGTATGATTCTGGTCTTCTTGTTGTCTCTGGCAGCGTTACCGGCCAATTCGAGTACTTCAGCAGCAAGATATTCCATAACGGCAGCGAGATAAACGGGAGCACCGGCACCGACGCGCTCCGCGTAGTTTCCTTTCCTCAGCAATCTGTGTATACGACCGACGGGGAACTGTAGACCTGCACGGTTAGAACGAGACTTCGCCTTTCCCTTAACTTTACCACCTTTACCACGTCCAGACATTGTTGCGAATATATTAACCTTTTGATATAATAACGTAACACACGCGACTGGCAGAGAGTAATTTAAAAAAACCGTAGCGCGGCTCTTTACTATATATACGTCTACACGTATCGGTGGGGTGGGGATATAGACGAATGACGAGCTAAAGTAGACGCGGAGAGAAGCGGGAGGGTTTTTTTCCAATCAGTGTTGACATTTTTTTTAGAGGATCGTACTATAGACTAAAAAAAATAATAGTATTTTGTCTTGAAATTCAATGAAATAATCGTACGCGATGAAATTTCAATAAACTGCGTAAGTATATCAAATAAAAACGGAATTTATCAATTCATATGGTGTAATTAAGATATTCATTAATTACATATATTTTGAAAACAGACAAAAAAAAAACAAATGAATTGCTTTAGTCAATATCTGAATTATTAGGCACAGCAGATGCGGGAAAAGCATTATATATATATATATATATATATATATATATATATATATATATATATATATATATATATTGTTCATACTTAAATTTATATACGATATCCTTTTTCTTTAATATTATGTTGTGCAGCTAATAAATTCTTATTTACCGTTTCTTGAACACAGTTTAGTTTTACATATTCCTTATAGTTATAGTACTAAAGTATAGTTTTATACATTCCTTATAGTTTTATTGAAGATTTCGATTACTCGATCGTAAATGGTACAAGAGTCATAAAGGTTTCCAAAAGTGAGTTAAAAGAAAATAATTGTCACCAGTGTTACATTATTATGTTTTATATGGTGTTTTTCATTATTATTATTATCAAAATTATGTACTGCTATGTACAATGTAACTAATATTTTCTATAATACTAACAACATAATATAATATCTTTATTTATTTATAACAAGAATGTTTAATATGTCTAATACTATGTATTCAGTATTGTTATTCTTCTTCTACCTGGCAATTTTCCAGCTGTAGCCAGGGTCTGTTTTACATGTTATAAGAATAATTTGGCTATTTGTTTATATGTATGACCGGCCGCCTGCCTGATATCAACAACCCTCTTTGGGAATCAACATTAATCAGTGAGTGATGTCTAAATACTCTAAGAAAGTACATAATATATAACTTGGAAAAATCACATTGGTCATTCTTGCCAGGGTCGAACCCGCGCCCTCATGCATGAGAGGCGGGCGGCCTTTTAACCAATTGGCCACCACTGACTTTGTTATTATCGTATTATAATATTATTACTGAATTGTTCGCTATTTTCGTGAATGTTATCTTGTATTCGATTATTATTTATATATTTTATTATTATTATTATTATTATTATTATAGGAGACGATCTTTGTCATTCGGAAAACGAGAACACAACGTTGTGTCGAAATCTAAGTTTCCGACATGATTGGGTTCATAATGAAATATATGTTAGCCCTGAAAAGGGCTTTTTATATATTATGTATTTTTTTTTTCTTTTCTTTCGTATCTGCGACGCGTGCCTGTAAGATGAACGTCACTCTCGTAGATTCCTCGAACGTTGAAGAGTACGGGGGGACGCCGAGAGACATTCCGATGATCTAGAATCTCTTATCTATAATGAACTTGTATCATCGTAAGTCTACAACCCCCGAGCGCGCTCACCACTCACGGTGCCGATGCTGCCGCCGTCGCGATAGATAAAGCAATACAAAAATTATTACTTTTTCGCTGCTGCTGCTGCTTTCTTAGCTGCGGGTTTCGATTTCGGGGTACCGGCGGATGCTTTCTTCGGTTTCGGGGCTTTAGGTTTCTTAGTGGGAGGTTTGGCGCTCTTCTTGGCCTTGGATGCTGCACCTTTCGCCTTAGAAGCTGTCGCGGAGGATGCGGCAGAGGCGTTCGCGGCTGCGGAACCTTTCTTAGCGGCGGCCGGCTTCTTTTTGGCAGCTGCTGCTGCGGCTGCGGCCGCTTTCTTATCCCTGGCCGCTGCCGCCGATGCTTTAGCTTTGGACGGCGAAGATGCAGCCGACGAAGCTACGGAACCGCCTTTCTTACCTCCCTTCGCTGCCACCGCCGATGCCGTTGCGGCGGCTTTCTTAGATTTAACGGATGCCGACGAAGCTGCAGCCCTACCGGTTCCGGCGGAACCACCACTTGCCTTACCACCACCACCACCACCACCACCCGACGACGGTTTCTTGGCTGCTGATGATTTAGATTCCAATTTGAATGAACCGGAAGCACCCTTCCCCTTGGTCTGTATCAGGGCACCGGACTCGACGGCGCTCTTGAGATATTTTCTTATGAACGGTGCCAATTTCTCCGTATCGACCTTATATTGAGCGGCGATGTATTTCTTGATAGCCTGTAACGATGAACCGCTGCGCTCCTTCAACTCTTTGATGGCGTTGTTTACCATTTCAGCTGTCTTGGGATGAGTAGGTTTAGCCTTAGGTTTCTTCGAGCCGGCCGCAGCGGCGGCGGCGGCCGCTGACGCTTTCGGTTTCTTCGCAGGCGTAGCCGGAGCCGGTGTTTCAGATGCAACTGCGGTATCTGCCATTTTTTTAATGTTTTTTATTTTTTTATTTTTATTATTCTTCTCAGCAGGTCACAACACCACACAGACACACAGACACAGTTTATAAACAAATATAACTATGATGATAGCCGGAGATGTCGCTAGTAGTTATTTAACAATCGGGTATGCCGTAACGAGAACCGTGTTGTCGCTAAACATTTTCACGTACGAACACTTCTAACTTTTCACTAACATCCATCCGTTTTATATGTTTTATTTAATATAATATATATGTTTATATAAATTTAAAGATGCAATATGTTTAATCTTAAAACTAACTTTCGTAGTGAACAATAAATAACTTTATAAACGTAGTTAGCATAGATTAATAGACGTTTGAATTCTATATACCTTTCGGGACGTAGGTAACGTCTCGTTTAAAAGTTATTTTTCTCATTTAGAATAGCGTATAGCGTAATGTGATATCGATTAATTGAAAACGAAGACATCACTCCTTCAGGCCCATGGAATAATCATCGTCTTTTATTATCTATGAACTGTTAATGCGGCATCGAAGTCTGGTCTCGTAAAACACACACCGGGATGTTAGAGTATGGAGAGAAGCAAAGGCCGCGTACACGAATGCATAGTATAATCGTCTTCGTAGTGGTTGTTGTCTTCGTTATGTTATGTATTATATAATATAAGGACATAATTTTCGATAATTATGAATAATATTATTGTATAATTGTACGATAGCAGCGGATGAATATGATGATACGATTATCGAAATGATGATTGTACATATTATAATATGCAATGTATGTATGTATGTAATGTACACGTAGAGAGACAGAGGTACATACGTGTATCATCATTATTATTATTAGTAATAGTAGGTATCGATTATCTAAATTTATTTAAAATGCTGTTAAATATTATGTATGTAATATGTGTATAATATTTAGAACATAAGATATGGACGACGACCATAGGTGATTTGAGTGATGAGAACATAAGTGTGTTGAGATAGTTATGATTTTTTTATATTATTACTATTATATACTATAAATTAAATAATAATATAGTTTATTATTCCGTCGTTGAAACTCTATATTCGATATTCACGATAATCGTGAATAATTATAATATTTCAACGGATACATATGCGGCCCTGAAAAGGGCCTTTTTTCT